ATATATATATATATACTTCTCTTTTATTTCTTTCAATCTAATCACTCTAAAAAATTATCCATTTTTTTTACACATTCTTTCTTTTTTCTTTTCTATCATATTTCTTTCTTTTATATTTCTCTGTTTACCTAAACAAAATATTAATGTTTGAATTTAGTTCGTTGTATAGTATAAACTATCTTTTTAAGGACCTTAAAAGTTTCACTTGTCTTAATATACTTAAATTTATTTCTTGTTAAATTTTTTTAGATAGATCTGGTCTATTGATAAATTGGTTAATCAACTAATAAGAAAATATTATATGTGAAAAATATCATAGACTATTAGGAGAAAGATAGAGCCTAATTCCGCCCTTAAAAAAATAGGGAGAGGAAGAAAGATAAATGAAAAAAAAAAATGAAAGTGTGCAATTAAGGAGTAACACTTTATTTATGATGTCCAAAAAATGGAGTCAATTATCAAATACATTTAAGGGGTAAAGAAGTTTAAATGGAAGAACAAAAGAGGCTTACAACCATTATATATTCTCATAGATGAACATTAAAGTTACTAAGACATGGGACATAAATTTAAATAGGTTGCTAAACATTATAACAATTGAGTCCGACTCATTTATATGACATAAGCATATTATTTAGGTTTATCTGACCTTCATGATAACTTAACTAAAACCTTATTTTGCTATATCTCTACGTAGGAGATAAATTTATTTTTATTGACTTTATTTCTTATGCCGATCAACTTGCTTAATATTAAAAAAAATATAAATAATTGTATGGTTAATATATATTAAAAAAAATAATAGTATTATTAACAAACTATTGTTATTTATATTTACTTAAATAACTTGATTTGTTCGGCCTAAAAAAAATCATTTTATATAATAGACTTTTTTAAAAAGTGTTGCCAAATTTATTTATTAAAAAAATATCGAGCCTTTGTTAGTGGGCAATACGGCCCACTCCTAATATTGAAGGATGAAACTGAGTTCTATTAAACCTCGTAAACCCGTTTTTTACGCTCACATTCATTATTTTTAAACTCTATTATTGCACCCTTCATTTTTATTATTCTTTATTTTTTTACCTCATTTTCATTAGTTTTTAAACTCCATTTTTTACTTCATCTTCGTTAATTTTTCAAACTCTTTACATGTATTTTCATCTCCTCTTTTTTGTTTCTCTAACAAAAATAACTAAAAAAATTCTATAATTTCATCGACTATATTGAATACCATGTTTTCCAAGTAAAAATTGTGCGTAATACGCAATTCTTTTATCACATAACTCGATACATAATACACGGGTTTTCTCTCAAAATGAATGCTATGCATTGTCCTCCAACATTAGGGTCCTCAAAATTCAAAAGGGAACTGCAAGTGAATCTAGCCAGCAATCATTTAGAATTTGCCAAAACTGCGTGATTTTTGTTTTCTTGTTGGATCAAAGAAGACACCACCTTGTTATTGATCCTATGATTCTATTCTTATCATCAATAATGCTGCTTCAACAAATTTTCAAGTATGTAACAATTACCAAAACTTAGTACCGGTAAAACCATGTTTGGGATATCTATACTTAAATATAAACACGATTTCTTATTTTAGTGTACATATTATTTTTTGATAATTTTAACTTTTTTTTTTATAAGAATTATACGAATTGAATAATAATAATTAATAAAAGATGAAAAAAAATCTTTTTTATAAAACTCTCAATAATTACGTGTCATTTCCACTAATTTGTGTGTGTTAAAGAAAGAAACCACATATGTATGAAATACATTTTTTTTTCACAAGGAGTAATAATAATGTTTTTGACTTGAAAAGTTTAGATTTATAACCTTTTGTTGACATATGAATTGATACTGAGTGTAATGAACCTTGCATTATCCGATCATTATTATTCCTGTTATATTATATTATAGTCACAACATTCTGAAGATTATGAGGCAGAGAAAGGGGTGAAAATACTAGGCCACTGATATCATAGGTTTTTAATTTAATCAAAATAAGTTACTACTATTATAGGTGTAGAGTCACAGAGAAAGAGAGTAAAAGCCTCAATCCAATTTCTATGTATATTTAACATTTCTTACCATGCATGGATCCCTTTGAGAACATAGAGATTCAGGAAAGATGTAAAATGAAAGTAAAGACATTGTAGCTAGAGTGAGAAAGTTGGTGGGAGGGTCTTGTAAAGGAAAAGAGCCTTTGGTCCCCGCAGCCTCATGGACTTCAAGGGATATCCACCTCATTATTATTATTATTTTC